TTCACTACAATGAATGTAAAAATTAAATCCAGAACAACTTCATGATTTTGGATATTTTTTTCATGTCAAAAAGAATAGTACCGTTGCCTAAATCGGTACTCACTTCTAATTTCCTAAGCAAAATATCAATATATTTTGATTCTCCAAATAAATTAAGATTCCCTACAAGCAAACACACACATATTTCCTAAACTGTGTTTCTATGGCTTTAATTTTTTACCTGCAGCAACTCTGGAATGCTAATTAAATGGTTTAGTGTATGGTTTTTATCTTCTTTCTGGTTGCTTAGTTTTCTACAAGATCCCCAAAACAGCATGACTGGCTCACTACACTAACTGTTGTTCTGATGAATGAAAGCTGTTTAAAACGTGAACTTGAAAAATCTTATTTCAACTGTAATTTTGTAGCTAAAATTCTTTTTCTGAACTTTGCAAATTGGTCTGTGCAACCCAAATTAGAGCTGAGAAAAAACTAGACTTTAAGTTGCTCAATGGTCTTCAAAAGGTGAAAAAGCAGAATGAAACATGCTCATCTGAACTACACCCATTTTCAATTTCAACACAGTAAACTTCTTATTTGTTCTTAAGGCAAATTCAAAACTGTACATATTGGAATTCATTATTACCAAAGATAATTTATGCAATCATAAGCCAAAGGTGCTAAGTTGGCAAAAAGAAAACCATGGAAGTAAGCAAACTCTAACACATGTGCAACACACCCTCTCAGTATATAAAGGCTTGTTCACTGTCCTTGACAGCAGGTGCTCCCTGGGCTGAACAGCAGCAGCCATGTCTGTGAGATACAGCTCAAGCAAGCAGTACTCTTCCTCCCGCAGCGGAGGAGGAGGAGGAGGAGGAGGAGGAGGAGGGGCATGCTACAGAATTGCAAGCAGCAAAGGCTCCCTTGGTGGAGGAGTATGTGGCTCAGGAGGGTTCAGTAGTAGCTCTTTCAGCCGGGGAAGCTCTGGTGGAAGCTTCCTTATAGGCTCATCAGGTGGCTATGGAGGAGGATCAGGAGGAGGAGGTTTTTGTGGCAGTAGCTTTGGTGGAGGCAGCTATGGGGGAGGCTATGGAGGCAGCAGCTATGGGGGAGGCTATGGAGGCAGCAGCTATGGAGGAGGCTATGGAGGAGGTAGCTTCGGAGGGGGCGGCTTCGGAGGGGGAGGCTTCAGCGGAGGCAGCTTTGGAGGGGGCTTTGGTGGTGGTGGTTTTGGAGGAGATGGTGGCCTCCTCTCCGGAAATGAAAAAGTTACCATGCAGAATCTAAATGACCGCCTGGCCTCCTACCTGGACAAAGTTCGGGCTCTGGAAGATTCAAATCATGAGCTAGAAAATAAAATCAAGGACTGGTATGACAAGCACAGCAGAACAGGCCAGGGAGAGCCTCATGACTACAGCAAATACTATCAAACCATCGATGATCTTAAAAATCAGGTAAGGGGAATTTTAAAAATCAACTTTAAGCCTGTTTTTTATCCATTGAATTCAGATAGATGAATCTGGAAATGACCATGATGTAGTTGTTCACTGTGTTTGCCTATGTTACCTTCTTGCTTCCAAAAACAATCCAGTCTCATAAAAGGTAAATATCTGTGAGAGTATGGTTACTGCAATCTTAATGCAACATGTGTGCTGTGTGTCTTACAGGATGTCGGATTACTGAGATTTTTTTAGGTTTGACTGAGTGTATCATGAGTCCATGGTTAAAATACTCTAGATCATTTTACAAATACAGGAACTGAAAGAACTATTATTCAGATTGACAACAAAGAAAATACTCATTAGCAACATTGCAAGAAACATGAATTCTCCAGTATGGAAATGGGATACTGCTTGTCTCTAGGAAATTTATGAATTACACCCACTGGGACAGTTCAGAGTATATTCATTTAGAATATATATTTATAACAAGTTAAACCAAATACAGGTATGAGTCGGTGAAATACATGAAATCACAGTATAAAAGACGGACACAGGTGCAAGAACCCATATCAGGAACACAGCTATGTAATTCCAATTTGTTTTCAGAAAGGGATGACACAGAAATAGAAAAGTATAGAAACTTGAAGAGAATGA